CCTATGGTGTACATGCAACCCTATAAACCTTGGATCTATGTTTTCTCTATTATACATGCAAATATTAACTATTCCAAGGTTTCATCCTAACTAGCATATTATGAAGCACCTATACTACAAAGTTCTAGTTAGATGACATACCTTTTGATGTAGTTTGATGTCTTCAAGCTTTAAGAGCTTAGCCCCAATAGTGTGGAAGCCTCAAATGGAATCACAAATCACCAAAACACCTTGGAAGAACTTGAGAGAGTATGTATGCACACTAAAATCGACCCACTCTTATTTTCACACACTTGTACCAATTTTGTGAGCCAATGACCCCTTTATATATTATGGAGGATTAGGGTTACATCCATGTAAACCCTAATACGCATGACCTTTCATTTACATAGGATCCATGGGTTAAAAGCTCCATGGACCATCCATGAAAGCTTAGCCCAACCTAAATGAACTTGGCCCATTCCATATATATAAGAGTCCATATTTAATTAGTTCTTTTTGATCACTTAATTAATTCTAAATTAATTCTTGATCAATACTAATTAAATAATATGATTCCATATTAATATATTAGAACTTATAATATATTAATATAAATCATAAATATACTATTCTCAAAAGACTATCCATATAAATTGTGCCGGTGAAGTGCAACCCAAATGGACCATGCCGGGTCGGGTCAAGTACATACCAAATATAGTTATGGACTTAGACATTAATCCAACACTTATGGCCATAAAGGGCTTCGAACGGCGCAACCTTGATGCTGGTATGGTAGCTGTTGTTGTAGGAAAATTCGACCCAGGGCAAATGTTTGTCCCACGACGTGCCAAAGTCGATCACGCATGCTCTCAACATGTCTTCCAATGTTTGAATGGTTCTCTCACTCTGCCCATCGGAGATAATGGACACAAGCACACCATGCAGGTGGACTATCTCACGAATGTAGATTCGTTTCAGTCTCTCTATTTTGAAGTTTTTCTTGATTGGTAGGAAATGGGCGGATTTAGTCAATCGATCGACAACTACCAATATGGCATCGTGCCCACTTGGAGACTTGGGCAACTTAGTGATGAAATCCATCGTAATCCTTTCCCACTTCCACTCAGGTATTCGGTCTGGCTGCTGAAGTAGAACCTGAGGGCTTTTGATATTCCACCTTCACATTGGCGCAAGTCAGGAACTTGCCCACGAAGGTAGCGATCTTTGCTTTCATGTTCGGCCACCGATAGAGCTTTTTGAGATCCAGGTACATCTTATCCGAACCTAGGTGAACATAGTATCTAGTCTTGTGAGCTTCGTTCATGAAAACCTCTCTGTAACCGCCGAACTTTGGGGTCCAGATTAGGTCCATGAAATAGTAAACTCCGTCTCCTCTGATCTCCAAGTTCTTTTCCATCCCCCTCAAATCTTCGTTCGACATGTTTTCTGGTCTTAAGGCTTCCAGCTGAGCCTCCTTGATTTGAGCGGACAGATGGGAATGGATGGTCATTGTCAGTGCCTTCACTCTACGACCTGAATACTCTTTCCGGCTGAGGGCATCCGCTACCACATTGGCCTTGCTGGGATGGTAGCGTATTTTTCACTTCATAATCACTGAGTAGCTCTACCCATCTCCGTTCCCTCATGTTCAATTCTTTCTGATCAAAGATATGGTGTAGGCTCTTATGGTCGGTGAAGACAGTGTACTTGGTTCCGTAGAGGTAATGTCTCCAAATCTTTAACGCAAAGACCACTGCTCCCAACTCCGAATCGTGAGTTGTATAGTTGACCTCGTGTGCTTTCAGCTGCCTCGAGGCATAAGCTATAATCTTTCCTCGTCGCATGAGCACACAGCCTAGGCCCTGATTGGATGCATCATAGTACACCACGAAGTTCTCTGTCCCTTCAGGCAGAGACAAAATAGGTGCGCTGCATAGGACCTGCTTTAATGTTTGAAACGCAGTGTCTTGCTTTTCTCCCCAACAAAAAGGTACACCTTTCTGAGTCAGGGTGGTTAAAGGCTTAGCAATCCTGGAGAAATTTTGGATAAATCTGCGATAATAGCCAGTGAGGCCCAAAAATTGACGGATTTTTGTGGGCGTCTTCAGTACTGACCAAGTCTCAATCGCTTTGATCTTGGAAGGGTCCACATGCATGCCTTCCTCGCTAACCACATCATCAAGGAAAGTTACTTTTTCTGATCCAGAATTCGCACTTAGAGATTTTTTCATAGAGTTTCTCCGCCCTTAATGTTTCTAACACTAGCCTCAAGTGTTGTCTATGATCATCCTCACTCCGAGAGTAGACAAGTATATCATCAATGAACACGATTACGAACTTGTCTAGGAAAGGGCGGCACACCTGATTCATCAGATCCATGAATACTGCGGGTGCGTTGGTTAGACCAAAGGGCATTACTACAAACTCGTAGTGACCATAGCGAGTTCGGAATGCTGTCTTGGGAACATCACTCTCATGGATTCGCAATTGGTGGTACCCTGATCTTAGGTCTATCTTTGAGAAGTAGCCGGCTCCTTGAAGTTGATCGAAGAGGTCGTCGATTCTGGGTAGGGGATAACAGTTCTTGATGGCAAGCTTGTTCAATTCACGATAATCTCAATACTAGAAAAACAGCCTTTTACGATGCGCAATGTGTTTCGTAAAACGCTCAGACGACGCGCAAATGCGTGTCAAGGAAGGACCTGTCATAACAAGAGACGACACGCTTTTGCGCGTCGTCTATTTACGACGCGTATTTACGACGCGCAATTACAACGCGCATTTACGACGTGCACGACACGCATTGCGTATCAAGGAAGGCCCTATCATAAAGGAAGATGACACGCATTTGCGTGTCGTAACCTTACGACGCGCATTTACGACTCGCATTGTGTATCATTAAAGCCTCTGTCAAGAAAGGCCATGTCATAAATGAAGATGACACACATTTTTGCGTATCATAATTTTATATGTTTAAAAAAAATATTATTTATAGATTTACTAATTTTCAAATTAAGTTTGTATTTAATGTCTCATCATAGAAAATAAAATATCATCTACAAAAAATACAATCCATTGCATAAAATTTAATGTCATACAAATAATCGTTCCATGGAAAGATAAAACAAATCAATAGAAGTTGTAACAAAAATTTACAAACTAATTAGATACAAGAAATATAAAAAAATATACCCTCAAATGCTTTTCAAAGTCTAATCTCCATGTCAGCTCTTCAACTCACTTCTCCAGTTTGTATAGATGAGAAAACCCTACCCACTTTCCTTCTGATTCATTGACCTTCTGAGGAACACAAGTAAGCCAAAACAACCACCTTCAAGGATTTCAGAAAGAGGGGGAATCAGACAAAAAGAGGGGGAATCAGACAGTATGTGTGACACCTTGCATTCATATATCACATAACAATACTTTTGTATCAACTCTTTTAAACCCACATATCTTGTATATTCCAGTTTCCCAAGGTATTTTGGGTATTTCAGTTAGAGTTAAAAGTTTTACAAGCTCCTTATCTATTTCTTCAAATATGATTTATGTTTATGCAAAGTTCATGAAATTTCCTAAACATAGTCGCTACCTGCATTAACAATAACCTTCCAATCTAAATCTTTTAACACAATGAAAATAAAATAAAATAAGAAAGTATGAAATTAAAACGAACCTCATTTTCATATAGCAATTTGAAGTCTCTAGACACATTTCATTAGCCAACTTAACCACATTAAGCACATGCATGTAAGTCCTAAAAAATTTAATCTATATCTGCAAATAATAATAATAATAATAATAATAATAATAATAATAATAATACATTAAATATAAATGAGCTTGTCCGTAAAAAAACAAAAAACCGATAAAGAAAAATATTAATTGAGTATCTAACCTCCTTGAAATCCTCAAGAAGGCATGAACCAATCTCAAATCACAGGCCCTTATATCAAAGCGACGCCTAGACACAGATCCAAAAACAAATTTTAAATTAGTAACATTTGAACTAAAGGTCCTCCCAACAAGATTAGAAAAAAAAACATACTAGAATTTTGAGTTTTTAACCAAAATAGGGTTATTGAAAAATATATTTACCAATCTAGTATAGTTTGAAAAATATTTACCAAACTAGTGTTTTTCTTCATTTTTCAATATTTCTTATTGTTTTTCTATTTATTTAAAATATCAGCTTTTTTACTTTTTTTTTATTTTAGTTTTTTTACTATTTATTTTAAATATCAGTTTATTATTATTATTATTATTATTATTATTATTATTATTTACTATGCATTTAACATAAATATCTAACATACAAAAGAGCTTTATTATTTTGGTTCATTACATGCCAATTTTATTAATTTTTTTCTACCGTTTATATAGTGATTACGAGTTTCCTTTAATTTTCTTACCATTTATTTATACATATATTTTAAAAACTTAACCCTTTTACAAATTCAAGTTATACAGAATAGAGAGGGATCAAAATCGAAAATACACAAATTGAAGAGGAATCAGAACCAAATTTGGGTCTTTTACCGTTGCAATAGACATAGGATATTGGTGCGTGAATCGTGATTGACTAGTTACTTAAAGGTCGCCAGGTTGTCATACTTGGTCAGACTCCCTGTTTTTACTTCTTACAAGTCATTACACAACAATTTTTTTCCTTAATTGTCTCCGTGTATACACTTAAATCCAGGAAAAACCTTCCCAAAATACCCTTACTGTCCACTGGTTATTATTCAAATAGTGGGAATTCTTTCTGGTCATTAGCCAAAAACATAAGATCTGAAAAGAGAAGAAATTATTCAAGATACCCTTTTGTATATAGGAGAATGTGTCACTCATACATGGTCAGAAACTCAGACTACCTACCAGCTAAAATCTCCAGGGGTAACTTGGTCAGTTAAAATATATACAACTTCTAGTTCCTTCAATCTTCCACCCTACTTTATAAACAAGTTCTGTTAATTTCATTTTAACAAGATTTTTTCTTTTCTTTTAAAAAAACAAACTTAGCATCCAAGATGTACAACATGTATTACTATAGCAAATGCCCAATTCACCTGATTATATCAAAAACCACACAAATCAACACCTGAAATACATTTCATAACATTACATTACAAAATAACTATTCAAAAATGTAGTAGGTACCTACCTTATCAGTGCCAAGAAAAATGGCAACCACATGGGTGACCTGTTCTTCTATTTGATTGGTGCACAGTGCACACAACACCAAAGTGTTAAGTTGTCTGCCCCTGCCACAAAAGATGCAAGTGAGGATTGGCTTCACCCACAGGGAACAAATCTATATTCATTCCACACCAAATGGATCACAAGTGTTTACCGCCAACAAAGATGCCAAAGTCTCGTCCTTTGGTCTTTCAACATGATCAATCTCAAGCTGGGAAGGCCCCGGAAGTCCAAACTGTCCCCTACTACATGGAAAATATATGAAAGAAAGTGTCCCTATCTTTTGTTCCACAACACATATTAAGAATCGGCTAGATTTCACCTTCCAGATTGGTCCCTGCAACCAGATATAAAGTTGCTTAGCTGTACACATTCTTCAGTGGAGTTAAGGCAACATATACAGTGTATGATGGGCAATTAGATGGAGTTTCACATACATAATAACATATATTACTCTATTACCCTTTCTAAACTAATGTTGGTAATAAATGAAATAACATACATTACTATATTACCCTTTGTAAACCCATTGCTGTAGTTTCACATACATAATAACATAATCATATGCAAACCAATAAATGAATTTGTATTTCATATTATTATTTAGATTAAATGTCTTACTATCGGCAATGCAAGTGAATTGTGATCTATCTTAGAATCTGGTTGGCAGTTTGTATATCCCTAAAGATGCAGCAAGCAATCCATCCACTATCACATATGTTGCAACCAATTTTATATTAAAAAATCAGACTCAAAACAAAAAAAATTAGATATTTTGAATTTTATAATAATTACCTGCATATCAGAAGGGACTGGTTGATTCCAAAGGGAATCAAAAGCAGGAATAAACCACAGTTACTTCAAATCTGCATGCACAGCCGAATGGTTCATTGGAAAAAATCCACAGAAAAATCCTAAACAGTAGCTTCATCCAATTTGCTCCTTGACTGCCCCTTGGTCTTTAATGTTATGCTCACTGCTTCTTGTTTCTACAATACCTAAAAAGTTAAGCATGAACTAGAAGAAAGTGGGACTTTAAAGATTTTTATCTCCTGCATCTGTCATAACATATTTGTTGCTGATATTAACATCAAATAACAAATTGATTTATTTATTTAATTAAATTAAGTTGATTCCTTATTACTACTTTGTTAATGAATGTGGTATTGTGACATGTGGGTTAAACAACAAAGGTCACAACATAGGACGACATGATTATATTTGGATAGAAGATATGAAATTGATTGAGTAGCATCACCTGGGCCTCTAGAGCCTACTTTTACAACATCAAATTGTGAATCAAGAGCTGATTTGAATCGGAGTCAATCTTCTTATCTAATCTATTCATTCAACTATTTAGTATTAGAATGTTTGCTATATAGTATAAGACATGACGACATGACATAACATGCATTTTATAATATGTTTGATATGTATTTGACTAGTGTTTGTGTCCATATCAAAAAAACGTCGTGGGATAGGACTCGGACAGTGAGTCACTCCTGATCTCCTATTTATTCAAAAGACATAAATGCCCTCGTAATCTTTATCAAACAAAAATATACTTAGAAAGCCTATCTAATCCCATCCAATCTTGTCCAACCTATTACATTAAAGTCCTATGTAACAAAACGCAGCCTTAAGGATGTGAAAGCAATTAACTCACATATGTATACAAGGGTCAAAAACTCAAACCAGCCACCAAGGATAGAGACAATCCATAAGGTAAAAATGACCTGCATGCCCACAAGTTGTTTTTGTAGTTAAAAGTAGCATAAAATTCATCCATGTTAATGATAAGGAACCTCAAAAGTGGGTAGATAGATATATACACTCATAAATCTCTTTAGATCCTTCCCTGTAGTCATTTGCCTCAAGTATAAGCACCCCTGATTGATCTGATCTTTCAGCAAGAGAGCAACACAATCACACAGTTCTTGTGACAATCTAATGTCAGGGAAGTTTGGAGGAGACCTATTAAAAGAAAAAGCATTCATATATTCATGTACAAGATTTTTGTACTTGATTATAAAATAGCCACTCACTTGTTAACGAAGGAAGAAAGATTAGACCACAAGAACAATATCGCAAGAGCAAGTATTAGAAAGTGACACAAAAATGGAACAAGATGATAGCCTATCCTCTCACAGAGAAGCCATATGACAATTGAAGAGACCAGAATGGCACCAGACATTTGCTTTTGTCGCAAGAGTAAAAAATCAGCAGCTGAAAATAGAGACTTAAGCCGATCAAGATATCTGAAATTCTGAATTGAGTCCATTACATATTTTCATGATTTATATCAAGAAATAGGTATGTCATATGTAAAAGAAATTCCATTGTCATCGACAACAGATGAAAGATATGATTTGATCTAAAACTAAAATAAGATTGAGGAGATTTACTTTTTTCCAGAACCGAGAGCAGCGTGCAGAAGTTTCCGGCGACCAAAGAGGTGGCGCCTTCCGGAACCAGATTGTGTCTCCTCCTCATCCATATTAAGCTTGCGCTTTTGTTCCACCGGCAATTCTTCAAATCTATTCTCCGTCGTCGCCACTATCTTGTCTTCGACGGCCGGATCTACCATATTTTCCTATATTATCAATAAAATCACGATCATCGTAACATATTGCAAAATTTTAAATTATGAAAGAAAAAATTTCACAGATTGTGCGTACTGTATCTTAAATGAGTCGCCAAAGAGAAACCAAAAATCGCATATCTTTATAATTGTACGCGAGTGATGGGCCTATGTACACGTGAAGACACTGGTGAGGGATGGATTGACGCATCCTGCCCTAAGCTGGAATCACTTGGATGGATTAACAATTGGGGCATAATAATTTGATTTATTACCGATAGGATTTTTGAGTAGGTTAACTGTGAAGAAAGCTATGGGGGCTAGGTTTCCTTTACGATTCTAGGGTTTAATGAATTGTGTTAATCGAACGAGATTTTGTTGAAATCGGACCTAGGGCTTGTAAGTACAACACACAATCACGAGAAACCTTCATCGTCGGCGAGGTGGGTGATGGAAGAGAGATTGTAGATGGAAGAACCAGACCTAAATCGCCATGGCGGGTTTTCAACTTTTCTAATTTTTTGGGAATTCCTTTTCCCGCTACTAAAGATGAAGATGTGCTCGTTTCATTACAAAAAATATAAAACAACATGATTTCACGACGCGCTTTTTATGATAGGTGCCCTCCGTGTTTTTTTTCTAACACTAATTTTAGGGCACGCAAAAATATGCGTCCTAAATCCTTCACATTTTGGGAGATCTGATACTATTTTTAGGGCACACACTTTTACGTATCGTAAAACAGCGCGTGTCATGGTTTGCGCGTCATTAAAGGGTATTTTTCTAGTAGTGTCTATACACATCCGAAAGGATCCATCTTTCTTCTTCACAACCAAGACCGGGGCTCCCCAGGGTGAGGAACTTGGTCTTATGAATCCTTTGTTGAGTAGCCCATTGAGCTGGCTAGATAATTCTTGCATTTCTGCCGGTGCTAGACGGTATGGGGATTTAGCTACAGGAGTAGCTCCGGGAGTTAAGTCGATACGGAACTCGACTTGGCGCTTGGGAGGGATTCTGGGGAGATCTTCGGGGAAGACATCAGGAAAGTTGCAGACTTCGGGGATGCTCTCGATGTCTTTAACTTCCTGTTTCTCGTTAACGACATGGGCTAGGAATGCATAGCACTACTTTCGCAGATATTTCTGAGCCTTGATGCAGGAAATGATACGGAGGTTCGAGCTGAGTTTATCGCCATATATAATAAGGGCTTCGCTGGATGGCAGGTTGAGTCGTATGGCTTTTTTGCAACAAAGAATATCAGCACTATTGGGGCTCAACCAATCCATGCCAATGATAACGTCAAATCTTTTTATGGAAATTGGCATAAGGTCAATTGGAAAAATAATGATCGTTTAAGGTAAGGGTACAGCCTATGAATATGTTGTTAATACTCTTTTTCCTTCCGTTAGCCATCTCGACGGTGAATGTTTTGGTTAAAGGTTGGGATTTACACTTGAGTAGATGTTTAAATGTATGACTAACAAAACTTCTCTCCGCACCAGAATCGAAAAGAATTCATGCATAAGAGTTGTCGAGGAGGAACGTACCCGTAACAACAGTGGGATCATCAACTGCCTCCTCCTGGCCCATCGCTAGCACCTTCCCTGTGTTACCACCTGTTGTTGCCTTGGGGCAATTTCTCTTGAAGTGCCCAACCTCCCCACAGCCATAACAGGCTTGACCGACGCCCGCTCCAGAAGCTTGATTGGTCGGTTGAGCTGGTGTCTTGCAGAATCGCATTGTGTGCCCCTTTTTGCCACACTTGTTACATTGCATCTCCCTACAATCTCCCAAATGATGGAAGTTGCATTTGTTGCACAAGGGCAAATTTCCAACGTAACGACTGGGAGTTGCTGTAGTACTAGTACTGGGAACAGTAGCAGGGGTGGTAGCGGCATGAACTGCCACTACCTGTTTTTTCTTGGAGGGCTCCTGTGAAGACTGGACCTTACGCTTGTTCCAAAATTTCTTCTTCCCACCACTCTCCTTTGATGGTTCGGGAACGGTTGTTACTGCATCAAGATCAACCCCGTGATCTATAAGAGTTTGTGCTAAACACTTGGCGTTGTCGAAAGTGGAAGGTTTAGCAGCCAAGACATTTCCTTGAGTTGGGGGCATCAATCCCTAAATGTATCTCTCTATTTTCTTGCTTTCCGAGGTGACCATCCCCGGACAGAGAAGAGCCAGATCATAGAATCTAGCTGTATAGGAGGTAATGTCGGAACCCTTCATCTTTAGGTTCCAAAGCCCGTATTCCAATTTCTGCATCTCGCCCCTTGGGAAGTACTCAGCAAGCATGAGTTCTTTTAAACTCTCCCAACCCATTACATTTGCAACTGGCAGAGTTAGGGATTTGACCCGGCTATTCCACTAAGTTAATGCTCTATCAGTGAAGGTGCAGGTGGCAAACTTCACCTTGCTGGCCTCCGAACAAGCAAAAATTTCGAAAATCGATTCGATCTTTTAGAACCATCGAGTTAGGGAAATGACTCCTCCATTGCCATCGAAAGATTTGGGCTTTGCATTCATGAAATCTTTATAGGAACACTCCTTCGGGTGTCCCTGCTTGCCACCAAGATTTTAGGAATGGGTACCACTTCCGGATCCGCTAGCATCACCAGGGTTTATTTGTGCCATCGCGGCAGCCACAACGGCTGTAATTGCTGCCTGGAACATAGCAGGATCGAACTGAGGAGGTGGTGGTGGTGGAGGATCATTGTTCTTCCTATTGGGTCTCTTTCTGGGAGGCATCTTTTTCTAAAAGATACAAGGAAAAATGACGGTAAGCCTCCTATACCGATTTATGAGTTGAATATTTTCGAGCAAGATATATCTTAATCCCACAATGAAAATAAAGACCTATAATGATAGCCACTAACAATAATAAAGGATTGCAGGTCTTTCGCTTATAAGGATTCATACTACTAGTGATGACTCTGTGTAGTGTTATAGTACCATAAAATACTCATATAGTATTTTAACTATGTGCTTCATTTGTATATGATTTGGTGAGTTTTAGACTTGTCGCGCCACCACAATCACTCCCAAACACATGTTGGTCATATCTCGGACAAATATAGTTGATCAGGTTATATTGGCCCCACATATGACTACATAACTATCCAGGTTTAGCTGAAGTGTCCAACTTGTCCTAAATACTTTTATGTTGTTCTTACTATGTTAGTCTCTGGTACGTATGTATACTTGTACACTTCTTGTAAAAATAATTGTATTTTTAAAGTATACTTTTAGTTTCAGAGCACTTCGGCCCCTTTAGTGTTTATAGTTGTATACCATGTAAGGTTCAGTATACTTAGTTCACTATAAATTAGAGCTCTGATACCAATCTGTCACACCCCCAAACCGGAACGGCGGAAACGTTCGGGGGTGGATGACATCATATGTAGTATCAAAACAATTGCATCATAGTAATCAAAGTAAACACAACCATTACATTGAGTACATAAAAAGGTATTTACATCTGTTTGTTTTATATTTATATACATCAAAAGTAGCAAAAATAAAGACGATACTCTATACGCTCCATCTTCTCAAATGTCTACTGATTTCCTGAGAATACAAGCAGTTTTGAAAAGAGAAAATCAACATAAAGCTGGTGAGTTCATAAGCATGTTTTTGTAATGTAAAACTGTCATTGAATCTGTAAAATGTTTGTATGTTTTCCCAGAAAATCCGATATTTTCTATCATATATGTTTATTACTATGTTCTGTAGAAGTGTATAATGTTTTAGTTTGCAGGTCTGATTACCACTAACTGTATTGTATTATATTGTTTTGAATGAAAAGCCTTTGTATGAAAACCCTGGCTATCACCAGTAATTGTATAGAATGTTCTGTTTGAAAATCCTGGTTACCATCAGTATGTATAGTAGTTTCATTACTTAAAATAAAACTTATGAGTTGAAATCCCTAGAATCCTCCAGTTGTATTATGAACTTGTTTTATTAATAAAATAAAACTAAAGAAGAATGAAATCTCGTAAATAATAAGATTAGTTTATACTATTGTGAGTCGTATAACCATGCTTGATATGACCTAGTGACCTTTACGACGTTCTTCAAGTGTCGGATAAATGACATTTCTCACCCCAGGCATGCCTGCCTAACTGTAGCTAGCAGCTCAGGTGTGGGATTGTCATACCCGGATAGATCTATTCACAAATCTCACGCTCTCCCTCCAGGAGACTCTGGTTATACTATGATAGGATTTATCCTGGACCTTGAAAGTTACAATTGAGGTGTTGTCTCACAATCCTGTATTAACTAGTTTACGTGTAGCTCTGTATTGTTCTCTTGTATTTGAATCTGTTGTATACTTGTAGTGTAACAATAATTATACTTAAATAATTATTTAATGTAGTACTCTCGAATTCAGCAAGTAGTAATGTATATCATATATCATAAACTAAGTCTGTCATAGTTTATATGTTTGTTAATTTATGACTCTGAATTTCTAAACTAGTGTATTGAAGTCCCAAACTATACCCATTATAGTTTGTATGTATGTTGTGTACTTGATTCATGTATTGATCTGAAAACTATGCAATTATGGCTATACGTTGGAAAAATGTCCCTTATGCTCAACATGTTACAAACGGGATAAAATATCTAAATATTTTATAAACATGTGGAAACTGTATGTTTGTATTAATTACATCAGTTTTAAAGGTGTTAAAATCCTTTTTGTATAAGTTCACATAAATCATTTGTTTTTGGCTTGTATCCCCCCCTGAGAAAGTTGAAAATAGTAAAAGCATAGGGGTATGAACTCACTGTTAGTTGTGTGAAAGCGTCGGACAACGAAATTTGGAATGAAGACCCTCGAGTTGATGTACGCGACACTCAACGGAATCCTAATAACAATTAATACATATATGTATTTTATTAGTGAGACCATTTATTATAGTGTTGGAAAAACACTTTTCATTGGTTTAGGAATGTTACCGAGGCTCGATCGAGGTAGAAAAGTGATTTGCGGTCAAGTT